GAATTTTCAGCCTTTTTGCACTGTTCTTTCCTCATCTTTATGGATTTACCTACCCTTGGTTTTTGATGTTGATGTGCTTCGGATAGAGTTTCTGTGTGGATGTCTTTTTGATTGATGTTGATGCTGTTCCTTTCTGTTGGTTGGTTTTCCTTGTAACAGTCAGGTCCCTCTGCTGCAGGTTTGCTGGGATTTTCTAGAGGTCCACTCCAGACCCTGTTTGCCTGTATCACCAGTGGAGGCTGCAGAACCACAAAGATTGCTGCCTGTTCCTTTTTTTGGAAGCTTCTTTCCAGAGGAGCACCCACCAGATGCCAGCCGGAGCTCTCCTATATGAGTTGTCTGCTGACCCCTCCTGTGAGGCATCTCCCAGAAAGGAGGCACAGGGGTCAGGGACCCACTTGAGGAGGCAGTCGTCCCTTAGCAGAGCTCAAGTGCCGTGCTGGAAGATCTGCTGCTTTCATCAGAGCCAGTAGGCAGGAGTGTTTAAATCTGCTGAAGCTGCACCCATAGCTGCCCCTTCCGCAAGGTGCTTTGTCCCAGGGAGATGGGAATTTGATCTATAAGTCCCTAACTGAGGCTGTTGCTTTTTTTTTTTTTTTTTTAGAGATGCCCTGCCCAGAGAGGAGAAATCTAGAGAGGCTGTAGTCTGATTACAACAGCTTTGCTGAGCTGCAGTGGGCTCTGCCCAGTTCGAACTTCCTAGCAGCTTAGTTTACACTATGAGAGGGAAACTGCCTACTCAAGCCTCATAAATGGCAAACAGTTCTCCCCCCACCAAGCTTGAGCATCCTGGGTTGACTTCAGACTGCTGTGCTGGCAGTGAGAATTTCAAGCCAATGGATCGTAGCTTGCTGGGCTCTGGGGATGGGATCTGCTGAGCTATACCACTTGGCTTCCTGGCTTCAGCCCCCTTTCAGGAGAGTGAACAGTTCTGTCTCACTGGCGTTCCAGGCACCACTAGCATATGAAAAAAATAAAAATAAAAACTCTTGCAGCTAGCTTGGTATCTGCCCAAATGGCCACCCCGTTTTGTGCTTGAAACCCAGGCCCCTGGTGGCATAGGCACTGGAGGGAATCTCCTGGTCTGTGGGTTGCAAAGCATGGGAAAAGCATATAATCTGGGCCAGAGTGCTCTGTTCCTCATGGCAGTCTCTCAGGGCCTCCCTTGGCTAGGGGAAGGAGTTCCCTGGCCCTTCGTGCTTCCCAGGTGTGACAATGCCACATCTTCTGCTCACCCTTCATGGGCTGCACTCACTACCTAACCAGTCCCAATGAGATGAACCTGGTACCTCACTTGGTAATGCAGAAATCACCAGCCTTCTGCTTTGATCTCGCTGGGAGCTGCAGACTAGAGCTGTTCTTACTGGGCCATCTTGCAAAAGAACCCCTCTTTTGTGTTTCTTTAAGATCATTGGTGATATATCTTCTTTCATTTCTTGTTTTAAAAGATAACTCAGGCCTTCTCTAGTTATTTTCTTGGTCAATTTAGCTAAGGATTTGTTTAGTCCCTTACTTGTGATGATTTTTTTTTCTTGCTGCTTTCAAAATTTATTCTTTGTCTTTGGTTTGATTAGGATGCACCTAAATGTGATCTCTGAGTTTATTCTGCTTGGCATTTGTTGAGCTGCTTAGATGTGCAAATAAATGTTTTCTTCAAATTGGGGGCATTTTCCTTTTTTTCAAATATTATTTCTGCTTTTCTCTCTTCTCTTCTTCTGGGAATACCATTTGCAAATCTTGATACATTTAATTGGTGTCCCACAGGTCTCTGAGGCTCTGTTCACCTACCTACTTACCTACCTTCCCCTTTATTCAGTCTTTGTCCTTAGACTGAATAATCTCAGTCGACCTATCTTCAAGTTGATTGGTTCTTTCTTCTGCCAGCTCAAATCTACCAGTGTGTTTAGTGAATTTTTAATTTTAATTTGTGTACTTTCAAACTTTACAATTGCTGTATGGTTCTTTGTTATAACTTCTGTTTATTTATATAATTGCCTATTTGGTGAAATAGTCTCCTCATGCTTTAGTTGTTTATACACAGTGTTCTTTCATTCTTGAACATCCTCTAAATATCTGATTTAAAGTTTTTTGTCTGCTAAGTCCAATATCTGGGCTTTCTCAGAGATGTCATCTGTTGACTTTCTCCCCCATGTGTGGTACATTTTTATTGCTTTGCATGTTCTATAATGTTTTGTTTAAAAACTAAATCTTTAAAATAATACAGTATGACAACTGGAAATCAGATTATGTTCCACCTTAAGGTGTTTTTTTTTTTGTTTTTTTTGTTTTGTTTTTTTTTTTTTGCTGTGTCATTATGGTTATTCTTTGTTTAGTGACTTTTCTAAACTAATTCTGTTAAGTTAGTATTCTTTGTATTCTGTGCCCATTGAGATCTTCACCTAGTTAGCTTAGTGGTCAGCTAATGATTGAACAGAGGTTTCCTTATATATCTAGAATCATAAGACTCTCAGTGTTTGCCACGAGGGCTCTGTATGTCTTGAGGAGGAAGGATGAGAATAGTGCATTTGTTTGTTGGTTCGTTTTACCTTGCAGCTTCAGCTCAAAAGAAGAATAGTACAGTTTAAAATGCCATGATAGCTTGATTTTCTTGAATAGACATTCCTTAATGGCTGTAAGCCTATGGTTAATTCCCAGAGTTCTTTTGTTTAATGAAGTTACATTTCCCCCCTCCCACCCTGCAAAACAGCCATAACAACTCACAAGAGACCCACAACATTAAGTGTCATATCTGGAAGAAAATAAGTCACCTTTATGAAGTATATTTTTCTAGCTGTTTTCCTGATTTAATCTTTGCTTAACAATCAGTTCTTTATTTTGGCATTATTTGCATTCTATATAGACTGAGAATTTTCAAAACAATTAATACCTGCTGTCTCTTTGTTTAACGGTCTGGATTAAGCTGCTCTTGCATCGCTATAAAGAAATATCTCGGCCCAGAGTGATGGCTCATGCCTATAATCCCAGCACTCTGGGAGGCCGAGGTACGTGGACCACTTGAGGTCAGGAGTTCAAGATTAGCCTGGCCAACATGGCAAAACCCTATCTCTACTAAAAATACAAAGCTTAGCTGGGCATGGTGGCAGGTACCTGTAATTCCAGCTACTCAGGAGGCTGAGGCAGGAGAATCACTAGAACCTGGGAGGCGAAGTTTGCAGTGAACCACGATCGCACCATTGCACTCTGTTGCCCATTGCACTCCAGCCTGGGCAACAGAGCAAGACTCTGTCTCAAAAAAAAAAAAAGAAAGAAAGAAAAGGGAAAAAAAAGACAAATATCTCAGCCTGGCCAGTATGGTAAAACCTCATCTCTACCAAAAATTCAGAAATAAGCTGAGTGCAGTGGCGCACACCTACAATCCCAGCTATTCAGGAGGCTGAAGCAGGAAAATTGTTTGAACCTGGGAGGCAGAGGTTGCAGTGGCCTGAGATCGTACCATTGCACCCCGGCCTGAGTGACAGAGCAACACTCCATCTCAAAAAGAAAAAGAAAAAAAGAAATACCTGAGGCATGTTGGCTCATGCCTATAAGCCCAGCACTTTGGGAGGCTGAGACAAGCAGAGCACTTGAGGCCAGGAGTTTCAGACTGGCCTTGCCAAAATGACAAAAGCCAACTACTACTAAAAATACAAAACTTAGCTGAGCGTGGTGTCACAAGCCTGTAATCCCAGCTATTCAGGAGGCTGAAACATGAGAATTACTTGAGCCCAGGAGGTGGAGGTTGTAGTGAGCCAAGATCATACCATTGCACTCCAGCCTGGGTGACAGAGAGAGACCCCCCAAAAAATAGGTTTAATTAGCTCATGCTCTTGCAGTCTGTGCAAGCATGACACCAGTATCTGCTCAGCTCTGGTAAGGTCTTCAGGAAGCTTACAATCGTGGCAGAAGGCAAAGCAGAAGCCGACATATCACATGACAAGAGAGTAAGAGAAAGGAGGTCCCAGACTTTTAAACATTACAATCGTGGTGGAAGGCAAAGCACTAGCTGGCATATCACATGGCAAGACAGAAAGAAAAAGGTGGTTCCAGACTTTTAAACAACTAGATCTCACATGAACTGAGGGAAAACTCACTTATCACTGAGGGGATAGTGCTAAATCATTCATGAGGTATCTACCCGCATTGTTACTAAAGCACCGGGAATTTGATGTAGGTCTTGCTGCTTGCTTCACAGAAAGCCAATCACTGAAACAACAAGTATTGCCAAGGAAGAAGGCTTTAATTGGGAGCTGCAGCCAAGGCGATGGGGCGCTCAGTCTCAAATCCATCTGCCTGACTAAAACTAGAAGTTGATATAACAGGGGAGAAACATAGCAGTGTGTAAGAAAACAAGAATTAGGGAAGGGGCAAGGAGGCAATCATGGTGAATGAGGGATCCATGATGTGGGGCCATCATCTGGTGGGTTTCAGTTCTTTGATATTTTCTTTGAGAGGCCTGAAGGTCCTTTTCTGAGGAAGGAACTCAGATAAAACAAGTTGTAAGCCTTTTAAGACCAGAAGGGGCAATTTCTGTGTTTATCAAAAAGAACAGTCTATGGGGGTAGTTGGGTTGGTTTGACCATGATCCAATCACATCCTGTCAGACCCCACCTTCAATATTCAGAAACACATTCCAACATGATATTTAGAGGGGACAAACATCTAAACCATATCACAGTTCTTCCTTTAGTTTATCTCTTCCTTTTTGCACTTTACTATAATTAGCAAGAAGAAACCAGGGGCCACCTTCCACTCTTTGCTTAGCTATTTCCCTAGATAGATCACCCAATTCATTGGGCACATTTTCTACTTCCCAAGTTACTGAAGACGACAGTGTTGTGAAACTTTCTGCCATAACATAATTCCAATAATATTTACCTCATTTTTCTAGTTCTTCTGCAGCCTTCTTAAAGGCTGTGAATATTTTATTAACAGTTTATTTAAGTTACTTCAGCCTTTCATTAATACTATTCCCAAAGCCCATGTCCTGTTTTGAAAGTAACGCCTACATTTTCAGTTTTTATTACAGCAGCATCCCACTAATATGTACCAAAATCTTTATTATTTGCTACTCTATAACAAATTACTTCCAAAATTCAGCAGTTTCAAGTAACAGACATTTATTATTTCACATTTTCTCTGGGGTCAGGAATCTGAGAGTTGCTCAGCTGGTTGGTTTTGGCTCACTTTTTCACAAGGCTGCAATCAAGAAGTGATCTGGGTTGTGGTCATACGAGATTTGATTGCTGTAGAACATCTTGCAAGTTCACACATTTGGCTGCTTGCAGAAGGCTTCCATCTTTCTTCATGTGAGCCACCTCATGGGACTGCTCACAGTTACGGCTTTCTCTAGAATGAGTGATGACAGAGAGAGAGATGAAGGGACACACAAGTGAAAGGGAGAAGGAGATAGAAAAGGAGAGAGAGGGAAGGGGAGAGAGGGGAACAAAAGAGATGAAGGGGGACAAAAGAGAAAACAACAACCAAGAGCATCAGTGTTCATCAGTGTCCAGTATAAAACCTTCATTCATTTATAACATAATCTCCAAAGTGACAGATACTTTCACAATACACTATTGGTCACACAGACCACCCATGATACAACATGGAGGATGAAGGGGTATTGCACAGCAATGTGTTTTATCAAGAGGCAGTAATTATTGAGGACCATCTTGAAGCAGCTGCCACATAGGGCTTTGTAAATTAGTTAACTTTGGAAAATGAAGAATTAAGGGAAAAAATAAGCGTTTCTTTCTAATAGGGGGCAGTAAACCCCATTTCCAGATGGCAGCATTCTTCTGGGCAAATATTTACTACTAGCTTGATCCTTGTAAAAAGTTGATTTTACAATTCCTGACCTACATCTAAATCTTAAGTTACTTACTTTTTTGTAGTTATGACAACTTGTGCAAGTGATTTAGGAGGCTCACTAACCAATCAACAGCTGAGAAGCATTCTCTCTGTCTGTCTGTCTTTCTCCCTCTCTTTTGCCAAGTTTTTTGGTCTCACACATGGACTTATTCCCCAATATAATATAAAGAGACAAAAAGTGAATGGGTGAATAAAACAGAGTAGCACTATCTATTGTGCTTTAAACTTTGCTCTAAATTCAATTCTAAGGTAGAGCCCTAGTAACATGATATGGATCTAATTATGTCTGTCCTTTATGGCAGTTGTACTTGATCAAAATGTTTTGGGTAAAACTCTCAATGATATTCTCATTGTACAGAATTATGTTAGGATATCCATGCTGAAATATTTAGGAGTAAATTGTGATTATTCTGTAATTTCGATGGTTCTACAAATAAAAATAAACTAAAAAGACAGCAAATTTGGCAGACCAGTAACATTTCTTGAATATTAGTGGAAACTGTATCATCGTACTGTTTTTTCATTTTCTCTTTATGATCAAAATTTTTCTATATAAAAAATCAAGGAAATAAAAAATCCTTGATGATGACATTCAGGATATATATGCAATGCACATTTTATAGAATTGAAGAATTTAATGGATATAGAATTATAAGAATTTATAATGTTTTCCTAGTTAATGCGTGCAGTTTGTATATTAGGATAAAAATTGGTTATTCATACAATTTATGTTCACATACTGTTTTAATATCTTAATAAAATACATCTGAATGAATATTAGAACTCTTGAGAATAAATTGTTCAGCTTCTATGTATAATTCTTTATCTGTATTTTAGTTTGGGACCAGAGAATATTTAATCATATGAAATAATTAAATATGCTACATTTTGATTGATATATTATTATAAAACTAATTAAATCTACAAAGCTTCTGTTGCTAATTCCCAGAAAACAGTGGAAGTTATGGACTGATGCTAAAAGACTTCTGAAATCATTAATTTGTAATAAAAATAAATTTAAATGTTGGTAAAATTGCATTTCTCTTTTTAAAATAATTATTATATTTATTTCTTCCCTAGATCTTCCTCAGAACTGTGATCCTAACATTCCCCTAGTTGCTCAGGAATTAATGAAAAAGATGATACGTCAATTTGCGATTGAGTACATTTCAAAAAGTGGTAAAACTCAAGAGAATAGAAATGGTTCAATTGGACCAAGTGTAGTATGTAAAAGTATCCAAATGAATCAAGCAGAAAACTCCCTTCAGGAAGAGCAGGAAGGCCCCTTAGACCTCACTGTGAATCGAATGCAAGAACAAAATACTCAGCAAGGTAAGATTTTTGTGTGCATGTAATATATAATTTTATGTTGTATATCCTTAAATGCATATTTGCAACTTTTTATATTCATAAGAAAATTTATTTTGGATGTAATGACTTTTAATTTGTTCATGTAATATGGACTAGAAAGAATACAAATTTACAGCTTTTGTATTTGCATCTTTGTTCATGAAAGAGGAAATTTTAGTTGATTTCAACTCCTTTTGCAATAAAGTTTATGATGAACAAATCCTAATAAACAGCTTAAAAATAAAGGATATAAATAAAGAGATGTTTATAAGAAATAACGGTTTTTTGAGTGGACAGCTGAAAACATTAATTAAGCACCTGCTTGTTTAGTTTTTTTTTGTACTTAGGTGAGGAAAAATGTAGATGATTTATCTTCCAGTTTATGATGTAACTGGGAACAGAGGAAATGGAATATGTGTGACAAATATAATGTTATCATGTAACTAACTGTATGGAGACATAAGTCATAAGGAGCCTGCACAACGAAGACCATGTTGGACTTTAATTAAAAGAGAACCATAACTTCACAGAGGAATGGCAAGAAGAGGCTTTTAAGTGTATGTGAGGACTTAAGTGTTTATCCGAGCAGAGGACAATTGAGGTAGCTTTTGTTAATATAGGTTAGGAATCGTATTGTCAGTTTTTGAAGCCATAAGAAAAAAGCATTAAATTTAATACCAGAAAGCAATGATGTTAGTTTGGGTCTCTTAAGAAGAATATACTAGTTAGTGTTTGAAGAGAGAGTTGTTTCAGTGTGTAAATCAGATTAAAATTTAGAGAGGCTGAAATATGGGAATAATTTTTCCTTTTTCATTCCCTAATACTAGGTTGCAAGCTTTTATGTGACAATTTCTGACAAATTTTAAGATAATAGGTTAGAAGACAGAGAAAGAAATGTCAGATAACTATGATATCACATGGGTGTCCAACATTTTGGCTTCCCTGGGCTGCATTGGAAGAGGAATAATTGTGTTGGGCCACACATAAAATAAACTAACGATAGCTGCTGAGCTTTAAAAAGCAGGGACTGGTGGTGGTGGTGGGTGGTGGTTCCCTGTGCAATTTTTATGGTATCTGCCACCACAGATAAGCAAAAAAAAAAAAAAAAATTCTCACGTCAAAGGGTTGGACACCCCTGAAGCCTTAAGGAAAAAAAATATCAGTACATAGAATTTTGGAAATCAGAAAACAGAGGATTTTTAGAATTTTTTTTATTTGCTTTTCCATGCCTTATATTCCCTTGTGTCTCCTCTCATTTTGGGGATTTCTGAAGAGACTAGAACATAGGCTTTGGTATGTGACAGGCTTGTGGTTGAAATCCCAGCTCTGTTACTTAAGTTACAGAGTAGGTAACTTAAGTAATAGGTAACGTTACTTATCAGACCTTTAATTTCTTCCTTTGTAATTTGGCCATAATAATAATGGACCCATTGGAGCAATGTGAGAATTAAATATTTAGTAACAAACTCTTGAAAGATACTCAAATACTAGTCTCACCATACTCTCTCCCTCCTATTCCTTACCACCAGAGAAGAAGCCTTAGAAGTAATGTGATAGTGATCTATAAATATTTGTATGGCTGTTACCCTAACATAGGACTGAATTTTCTGTGAATGGTCCAATGAGTAGAATTAGGATGACTGACTAGCTAGAGGTTAGAGAGAAACAGATTTTAAAAGTAAATTTCCGGTTTTTATATTTTGATTCTATGAAGTTAAGTGGCGAGACAGATCTAAGTATATATAGAAAACAAGTCATGTAATTATTTAAATTATTATAATAGTCTAAGTAAAGTGCAAAAATATGTGAAAATCCTGAGGGTGGAAAGACTAGTGATAGTGGATATAAATCTGTAAGTAGTCTTCTTGATAATTTTAATTTTTGGATGACTTTTTGTCATGTGATTCTAGTCTTACTTGAGGGTAGAAATTATTTAGTTTAATGTGATTTAAGATATAGAGGGCAAGGGGAAGAATGATGACAGATGAAGCTAAAGAAGTAAGTAGGGATGAAATTTCGATTTTTCTTGGAGTCGTAGAAAGCTACTAGACTGAGAGTAACAAGATCATATTTTCTTTTATGAAACCATTCTGCCATGGTATGGATTGGCAGTTTCTTAAAATTTGCCTGCTTGCACACCAAACAAGGAAAATTTGAGCACATACCCTTGGATGCATTTGGGTGTGCATATGTATGTGTGTGTATGTACCTACCAACACACTATATGTACTAATCTTTCTATAAATATTTTAGGATTTAAATTAAAATGTTATAAACAATTTTTATAAATGCCTTGCTAATCATGATGACTTCACTGCCAATATCTTAACTGAATAATAATATACTTTAGAAGAGATTCATTAGCAATGATAGAAAGTATAAACCCATATTTCAAATAGCTTCCTTATGAATTTAATCCTTTTTGGCCAGATTTCACTGTTTTTACCTCATGGTATAGTCAGTAAAGAGCTTATACTAGTGGTAGCAGTGTCAGCTATGCTCTTTTTAATGTTGTTATTTGCTAGTGCTTGCATTTTTAATATTTTTCTCACTATAATTTTTAACAATACTCATTTAAGCCAGTTATTTATTTGATGAGTTACTTTATTCAAATTAGATGATAATCCATAAATCCAATAGATAATATGTCCATAAATTATGTAGATAAATTTATGGATAGTACAACCCATAACTTTATGAAATTCTCCATGCCAAATGGTTTTATAGGTAACTTTATATACTCTTAAAGCAACAGATAATCCCTATTTTGAGCTTTCCTTTTTTTCTACTCTGTTTTGAATAGTAGAAAAAAAAAGAAATGTTGATATTATCTTGATACCCAAACCAGACAAAGGTAGCAAAAGAAAGAAATATTGCAACTTACAAACCAAGGAGCAGAAATCCTTAATAAATATCAGCAAGTTGAGTACAGTGATGTATAAGAACATAATAATGATTAAGGTGGCATGAATGATTAAGCATTTGAAAAATTTTCTTAATTAAAAAAACTATATCATCCTAATAGATACAGAAAAAGTTATTCCACAAGAGCTGACATATTTATGATAAAAAGGGCTTATCAAACAAAGAATAATAGATGGGTGCTTCCACTACCAAAAACATTATAACATAAAGATTTAAAATAAAAGATAACACAAAAAATGCACACCATCATCAGTTTTAAACATTTGATGAGTGATCCTCACTCAGCTACCCAATTAGAAAATCTAGTTTTAAAAAGATTATAATTGCAATAGCTGCAACAACAGGAAAAACAGTAAAATGCCTAAGAATGAAACAGATAAACTATATCAGGTCTTATGGAGAATATTATAAAAATACATTGAAGGAAGTTAAAGATGACCAGCAAAATGAGTAATTATACTTTAAATGAATGTGAGACTGAAAGATGATAGCAGTTTACCCTTAATGTGCTTACAAATTCAATGTCATTCCAGGCAGAATTCTGACAGGATTTATTGTTAAATGTGGCTTGCTGTTCCTAAAATTTACAAGCAAGACTTAAAGAGCCAAGAATAATCAAGATGGTAAATATAGTCTTGCTAAATGTAGCAACATTTATTAAGTGCAGTAATTAAACCAGGGTGCTATTGCCCAGGATAAAAATAAGTAGGACAGATCAGTAAGCCCAGAAGCTCCCAAACAGTAGTGGAATCTTCGTATAAGATAGAAATGTCATGATAAATCACTGAGAAGAACACCATATTCATAAATAGTTCCAGGGCAATTGATTACCCAAAAGGGGGATAAGTGGTGGATCTCTACCTCATACCACTCTAAAAAATAGTTGAGTTTAAAGGCTAAATGTGAAAAGCAAACTAAAAGAGAGGAAATTAGAGGATAATATCTTAACTCAAAATAGGGAAGAAGTTCTTAAAATGCAAGAATCACAGTCCATAAACAATTTTGTATATTTGACTATATTTAAATCTAAAACTCAAGTATAGAAGTCATTGAAGAAAGTGAAATGTCAAGCCTCATCTATAACTGATGTATCTAGCAAGCATTCCACTAACAAAACTACAACCAGTGAGACAGACAACTAATGAGAAAAATAGGCAAAAACAAGTATCAGAAGAAGGTATTGGAGTAGCTGAATAAGCAAAGAAAAAGATACTTAAAAGAATATTTTGTCCAGCTTCCTTCCCTATATGGGATTCTTTTATTCTGTAAGAGATGGTAATTCAGCCTCTAACTAAGTATTTACATAAAATCTTTGGCAACTCTAATAGTGAACCTCATAGCTATGAAGAATATACTCATTGTTTTATATTTTTTCATCTGCAACAGCATTTTACTTTACTGTACATACTTGTAAAAATTATTACATCTCTAAGACTTTACTTTTCCATGATAACCTTTAGGGTTTTCTTCTGTTTTGCTTTGTTTTTTCTTTGTGCACCAATATAAGAAACTCTAGTCCTTCGACATAGTAATGCTGTAGATATTTGTTGAAACTATTATGTTTCTTCAAATGTCTGTTTTCCATGCAAATCTTTTCAGCGTTCTTAATTGTTCTTCATACGTCAGTTTCCATCTTCCTAATTGTTACTGCCTTTTTCTTTCACAACTCTATACTGACTTAAAATATGGTTACCCTGAGGAAAACATGGCAATTTTCATCTCCATTGTACTATTCTATCCAGGCATTTCAAATATTAGAGGATATTTCTTTGTACATTTTAAATTCTTCGGATTTGTATAAATACTCTGAGCTTCAGAAACTGGTAGGAAGGTAAAGCATGTATTGCCCATACCCAGGATTCTTTTTTGTCCTAGTACATTGAGTTAAGAAACAGGTATAAATAACATTAGTGTGCCAGGTATATATTTTTGAAATATCAGATTTAATCTGGGGCCAGAGTAAAAACTTCTCACAAATTCCAGTGTACAAGAAGAAATTTGCAACTTGACCTTTATCATTACTGTAACAACTGTGAAGACTAGGCCAATCCAATACAGAACAAGAATGGATGTGGGCAGAGATGGAACAGCAGTACTTCATTGACTTTGTTGATGCAGTTTTCTACCGTAAGATCCAATGAGTTTTCTGGTAGAGCTTTCATTATAGTAAACTTCTATATATATATATATTATGGTAAAATGCATTGTAATTGTTTGCATGTTTATCTCTCCATTGTAATCTACCTTTGGGAGAAGGAAACTTGTCTTTTATCACTTTTATGTCTCCAGTGCTTGATATGGTCTATGGTATATCAGATTTATTTAGTAAATTAAAAATATTCATCATACTCAAATTTCACTGATAACTAAAATGAGAATTGTGATTTGACCATTGCATTTATGATGTTTTCACAATGAAATTTTTTATTTTAAACATTTTGGTTGGAAAATATTCTGCACTGTACTTTTTAATGCTTTTCAAAACTCGATGTGGAACATTGCGTCATAATAATGGACATTAACTATTGCACCACCATGTAATGATTTTGAAATTTTTAGGATGATTTTCTCTTAATTAGCAAGAGATAAGTAAGATTTTTTTTTAATTACTTCAAAATGTTATCAGTAGGGTAAACTTTAGAACCTACAACTTCTAGTCTAAATTTCTTTTTAACAAATTATGTATAGGGCTAATACTAAGTTGGCTTCCAGTGACTATTTGAGAGACTATATGAATAAAATATATGAATTTTAGCATCATATTTAGTTGTTACTAAGTATTCTTTGTTGCGGCTGCCACCGCCACTCTTCTGCTTTCTTGGCTGTGATTAAGGTAGGTGTTACTATGTGTAAGACAGCCATGTATAGTTTTGTGATGTTATGTAGGCTTAAATGTGTGGTTTATAAATTAAGTTTTATAATTCTGTTTGGAAATCACTAAACAATTTTTAAAGTTCAGTTTAAAAAATTTTCTATGTTCACTAATGAAGTTGTCTATCTTGTTTTTCTATGCTGAGCTTTTGTTTTCTGTGGCTAAAAACATGTGGAAAAAAATGTTATATTCCATGCTTGGGAAGATGCCATGTTTTAGTCGACCTAAAAAATAAAACATATGTCTAGGTGGTCCTGTGTCCCTTATCTAACCTTCTCTGACTGCAGGGATAGAAGAAACAGGTGATATTTTAAAATTCCAGATCTAGGCCTACACTCTCATGCTGAAAACCCTTTAATGGGTTCATATTGCCCTTTAGATAACGTCTAAAATCCTAAACTCCAGGAACCAGCCCCTGCCCATGTATCCAGCTGCATCTTGTGTCTCTCTTTCTTTAGTCTTCATACTGGCTTTTTCTCATTTTCTTGAATATGTCATACACTCTCAGAACCTCAGAACGCCAACAATAAAGCTACCTTCTACACCCAATCAGTTTTTTTGTAAATACATACTATCTTTTTTCCAGGTCTCCTTTTAAACATTACTTTCTTAGGTAAACTTGCTCCATACCTTCTAAATTGGATGTACGCAGACACACATGTTGATATTCTTGCTCGTATTTAGTTTGGGATTCTTACTGTATTTTCATATAATATCATGTATTGTTTTGTGGCATTTGTTGCCCTTGCAATTATTTGTTTCAACCATCTTATTATCTGCTGTCTGTTTGTGTTGTTTTGCTTTTTTCCTCCTTATTTTCTTTTGGATTGAATTTCCTCACTTTTCCTTCTCTGCCTATTTTGAAGTTATGTACTCTACTACTATTCTGTTTGTAGTTACCCTCGAAGGTTTTAAAGGTATAGTTAATAGAAATTTAGAGTCACCTGCTTTGACACTTATAGCCATCTTCAATGCTGATTCCCTTCTGGTGATTCCACAACAACCATTTGTTTTATATCATCAATTTTTGTTGAGTATTACATACCTGATTGTCATCTCCTTTGCGCATCATTCCTTCATATATTTCACGTGTTCTTCTGGGATCGGGCATTCCTTAATTAAAGGTTTATTGGTAGTAAACTCTCGGGGTTTTGTTTTTGGTTTTTTATTTCTTTTTCTTTTTCACTTTTGTTCTTAAAAGATCTTTTGTCTAGGCACATAACTGTCTTGTTGCTATGATTGTGTGACTGCCAGCTAATAGTCTTTTCCTCATAGGTAACTTTACACACTCTACTTTTGGGTGCTCTCTCATTCTTCTCTGTTTTGTTTGTGGCATTCTGCATGCAGGTGTCTTAGATATGTTTGGAAGCAGGTTTCTTTTTCTCATATAAACCACAGAATATATTTAATTCAAATTAAACATGAAACTAGAATGATGTTCTGTCCTTATCAAGTAGCAATTATATTGTTTTTTTAAAAAGGTACATTTTTATCTGCATTCTGACAATCCAGCAAGGTGGCACAGGTCACATCCAGTTTGATGAGGTGACAGGGAAGCAGATTTCTTTATTCTACTTAGGAGTTACATGGTTTCTAAAACTAAGGACAGATCTCTCATCAATTGTGGACATTTTCCAGCCATTATCTGTTCAAATATATTTTTACTCACTTTATTTCCTGTCAAAATCCATTGAAACATATTTTTGATCTTCTTATTTTATCCTCCCTATCTCTTATCTTCCTTTTCATATTTCCATCTTTTTGTTTCTATATAATATCATGATTAGTTTATTCAGAAATATTTCCCAATTTACTAATTGTCTTTCAAGCTCTTTTAATCACGATTTAACCTGCGTCCTGAGTTTCTAATTTGTCATTATAATTTCCATTTCCAGAAGTTAGTTGTTACTTTTTCCAAATATGCTTATCAGCATGCTCATAATTTTACAAAAGAGTCACTAAGCAAGTTATCAAAAGTGACTGGGAGGGTTATTTTATATAAGATGGTTCAGGAAGACCTTCATGAAGAAGTGAGTTTGAGCTGAGATATGAATAATGAGAGGAAGTCTTTCATGAAGATTTGAGGTTGGGGCATTTAAGTCAGAAGAAATACCAAATATAAATACAAAATATCAAAACTCAGGGCAGGCATATGTCAGATATGTTTGAGGAACTGTATGAAGATTGTCTCAGTCAGGTGAAAACCAAAAGATTGTTCAAAGCTTTTTTAATAAAGTGAGATTATAGAATGTCAATAAATATAATTGTTACAATATATATATAAGCTGGATTTTTCTTTTTTCTGTTTTGTAAAGAATGTCATTTTAAAAAATCATGCACTTTAAATTCAGAAGTTTCATAAGTGTTACCGTCTGAAATGTCACTTGACTAACTTAATTAGGTATATGAAGCAAAAATAAAAAGAAAAAAGAAATTAGTGTTCTCTGTTGCTGTTCAATTTTTTACAAAACTTTGTTGTATAGGTTAAGCATTCCTTATCTAAAATCCTTGGGACCAGAAATGTTTCAGATTTTGATCTTATTTTAGAATATTTGCATACACATAATGAGATATCTTATGGATGGGGCCCAAGTCTAAACCTAAAATTCATTTGTTTCATATATACCTTATACAAACAGCCTGAAGGTAATTTTATATTATATTTTAAGTAATTTGGTGCATGCAACAGTTTGTGTTAACTACTCATATAATATAAAGTTGATAACCAACCCCGTGGGTTTCTAAGTGTCAATTCATTGTTTTATTTTCTTTTCCCTTGTAATTTCTCCAGGTATTCTCTTCCCAAAGAGATAACTTTCATATCTACCTTATAACCTTGAATTTATCAGTAGTCAAAATTGGGTTCTTATGCCCAGTTTGACTAAAGCTGATATTCTGTATTTAATCTTCCTCTTAGTTTTCTGTTAAATTAAGGACAAAACTTGTATTTTTTTTAATGACTTATTAGGTTCTGCCAGGATTTTGTCCTTGCCTACCTCTCTGGACTTGTTCTTTTCCATCTCTTCCTGGCATAGATTCAAGTCACACTGTCTACTTCTGACACTTGCCAAGCTCACTCTTCAGGACCTTCATCATTGCTGATCCCTTTGCCTGGGTTACTCTACCTTCAGATATTCTTGTTTCTTTTGGCTTGCCCCTGTTCATCATTTCTATCTTAGCTAGAGTATCACCTTAACAATAAGAAAATGATAAATTCTAATATATAAACAAAAGAAACTTCTGCATGACACAGAAGAAAGCACTATTAGAAAAATCAAAAGTCAGTGGTAGTCTATGAAAAATTTATACCTTATAAGATTAAAAAAACTAATGATTCTAATCTCTTAAGGGTTTCAAAAAATTGAAATGTAAAAGATCAACAACCTGATAGAAAAAATGAACATAATTATACTGTCAGTTCATAGAAGAAATTTTAAAAGTCCTTAAACATAGGAAAATACTATCAGCCATACTTGTGTGATTCACACCTGTCACACTGATAAGAAGTCAAGTTTAGCTATATACACTGTTTGTCAAAGCTGTTAAGTAACAGACATTTTCATGCATTACTGGAAATACAAACTGGTACAGTCCTTAGGAAGAATTGACAGTATCTGTTACATTTTATAAACATTTGTCCTTTGACCTAGCAGTCTCATTTCAGGGAATCAAGCCTTTAATTACACCTGCACAAATACGGAATGATATGCATTCAGGGTTATTCACTGTGACATTATTTGAATAGCAGGACATTGGAAAATAATCAAAATATCTATCAATAATGTCTTGGTTAGTTAAATTATTTATATTCACAAAATGGAAGACAAACATCGAAAAAAAAGGTGGGGATGAGAATGATCTCTTGATAGTGAATTTCCAGGTTTGCTTGTTAGGTAATAAGAAACAAGGTACAGAAATGCATGTATTACATGCTGTCTTTTGTGTAGAAAATGGGAAAGATAAGCCAAAAACTAATGATAATGAACATGGTTACCCAGAAGGGAATGAAGTAAACGAGGCAGATGAGACAGGAATAGAAGTGCTCTGAATAGACCTTGTTATTTATATTCTGCATATTCCAAAGGGTAAAAATTTTTTAAAAGTAGAGCAATCCAATGGCTGGGTGTGGTGGCTCATGCTTGTAATCCCAGCACTTTGGGAGGCCAAGGCGGGTGGATCACGAGGTCCAGAGATCGTGGCCAGCATGTTGAAACCCTGTCTCTACTAAAATACAAAAAATTAGCCG